TAAATGTAGTAATAGACCACTATAATAATATACTAATATACTACTACGTTAACATACGAATATCATGATACACCAATATACTAATGTACTCATGCACCAACGTACTAATATATTCGCGCAATCTTCAACTCTGCAAATATACTATTGTTCGAATACATTACTGTATTATTATATTAAGCTCAAAATGTACGAATCAATCAGTATATTCACATATCAAAACTATTTCTAATACTGATACTAATACCAGCACTTCTGTGAATAATAAACAGATACTAAAACCAGCATTCAGACTGATACTAATACTAACACGAGTACTATTACTGACATTGACATCGACACTGGCACTAACACCAGCACGAACATAATCACGAGTTCATATTTACTATTATTGATATGTATACTTTTATTCAATACTAATACTAATACTGATGCTAATACTAATACTAAATACCAATACCAATACTAGTACTAAAGCAATACCCATCCTAATATCAATACTACCACAAAACTATTACTCATATGAACACTGATACCAGGATTAGGACTACTACAAACAATGACAGCAGTACTAAGAATAGAACCAAGAACAATACATATTAATCCTAACACTAATACTAGTACTAATACTAGCTACTAATTCTAATACTCATACCAATACTAATGTCACCACTACTGCTGCTACTACTACTGCTACTACTACGACTACTACTACTACTACTACTACTACTACTAGTACACATACTTAATACTAAAACTAATACTGATACTCATACTAGTCACTAATACTAATACTAATACTCATTCTAATACTAATACCAATACTAATGCTACCACTACTACTGCTGTGCGACAACTATTGCTAGTACGACGACTACTACTATTAACATCAATACACATACTTAATGCTAATACTAAGAGTAATACTAATTCGAATACTATTACTCATACTAAACATCCTAATATCAATACTACCACAAAACTAATACTAATGCTAACACTGATACAAGAATTAAGATCTACAAACAGTAATAGTGGTACGAAGAGCAGAATTGAGATTAAGATTGGGACTAGGAGCGCTGCATGCGTGTGAAGAAATTTCCAAAAATTGCAAACCATCTAAAAGAACATTTTGGAATTGAGTTTGGGAGAAGTGTCTGTCGCCTATCCGTTGACAGATCCTGCCTGGGGACGCACGCCACCTTTCCCCTTACGGTCTGTCATGGGGGGGGGTGAGCATATATATATATATATATATATATATATATCTTTCTTTCAGACGCTGCAGAAGAGATCCGCTTGGCGAGGCTGTTATGACAGGGAGCCACCCCGGCTGCTGTGAGCCATGTGCTATTGCACATGTCGGTGAGAAACGTGCTGGCAGTCATGGCAATGAACGGACCTGCCACGGATGGCCCGTCAATGATCCGAACATGCTTAAGACTGCATGGTGCGGCAGTAGAAATACAAATAGCCTGTGGTCAAAGCTTGCGGTGGCATCTCGGACTGGATGATCGGCTCTTTTGAATCGTCGCACTGCCAGAAGGTCGGCTCCGCATCAGGAGGATATGTGCAGAGGAGGGCACGGTAGTGACCGGAGGCTGCATTTGGACCCTCGTGCAAAATCACTGCAATCAGTTGGTATTCGCAGTACCGGACACTTAAGGTGGAGTCATGCGGAATAGGGCGATGCTGAAAGCATGGTAGCAAGATGCGGGGATCCGGCAGCACACGAGTGACATCCTTGGCCCCAGTAGCCGTGGGACTAAACCTGTTGACCTGCAAAACCAAAAGACCCGGCTCACTATCCAGAGCAGTGAGGCCAGCAGCTGCTTGATCCTTCCAGGCATGAATGAGTCGTTGTATCGTGAGTCTACTATCGGGGCCACTGCGGCACTGAGATGGAGGCATAGCAAGGAGCATGGGCCATGCGTCCCCACAGTCGCGCACCTGGCAGCGGGGATGGTTGTCGTCTGCAATAAGAAGGCGGTTTTGCCACCTGCCCAAGAGCAGATCCGGAATGACAAACCTGCGACAGAAGACAAGATACTCAGCCACATCATGCTGGGAGTGTGGGCGGGTCCAGGGAGTGTGAAGAAGCGACCACTGAAGGGAGGACCAAAGGTCCGGAGCAGGCGCCTGTGTGACCATTCGCCGCACGACTGAATGCATGGCCTCAGACCATATCACCTGAGGGCGAGCCATACAGGAGCAGATCAGTTGGTTGGCCCAATGAAGGCAGCAGAGAACCGAATTTGCATAGCAGTGATTGGAGGAATTGATGATTCGGAGTAGCACAGGTGACTGGACGTAAAGGCAGTTTGAGTGCAGGACCCCTGCAGGCGACGGGCGAGCTCGGCTGCTAGGGCTGAGCGGCCCATCTTCTCTGGGCGCAAAGATCCGCCCACCAGCTGCCGGATCGCTGAGTTGGCCAGCGATCGGAGGCTCAGATAGAGCTCGGCTGCTTCCGGCGACCGAAAGCCCACCTGGAGGAGGAAGGGGACAGTGGGTCCCTGAAGTGGACCGCTGAGGCGCTGGGTGGAATGGAAGCGCATGATGGCCAGAGGACAGAGACACTGCTTTTGGAGGAGTTGCAGCTTCTCGAGCATCTTGGAGACGTAGATGGGCTCCTGATCCTGACGGGGCACCAGAGCCTTGGTCTCTGGATTGTAGCTCAAGAATGGTATGCGAAGCTCCAGATCGCCCTCCTTCGGCAAGAACACCTGTAGGGTGGTGGCGGTCTTCAGCTGCTCCTCGTTCTTCACGGTGTCCTTGATTCTCTTCACGAGGGTCTCCAGCATGGTGTGAAGTAGGAAGGACCTCAGAGGCAGAGCAATCTCGTCCATCTTCTCCTGCTTCTGCTCTTTCAGGGCGTGCCAGTGCTGAGATTTCTTCACGAAAAGAGGAACCAGAGAGAGAGCACTCTCCCTCTTGAAGAACATGACAAAGCCGTTCTGAGTCCTGTCTATGCCCATTTGGTCCTCGTGGCGTAGAAGAAGTTTGCCCAGCAGCCACATCATTCCCTCCGGGGCTCTGGTGTCTGCCTCTGTCGATCGGCGAATCGGCTGTCTGCGAGGGCCTTGGTTCTTGGACTGGCCCAGCTGATTGCCCTTTCCTCGCCCGCCCCGGCCGAAACCACCCTTGGATTCCGGTCTGGCCCATTTCGTGTCCCGCTCCTTCTCTTGGTCCTCCGCATCCTCCATCTCGTGACGTTTGTTCGCCACATCCAGCTCCATGGCTCCCTCGCCCCAACACTGGAGGAGCTGCAGCTCTGCCTGAGCCTCCTGTCTCTGTGCCTCTTGAAGAGAGAGGCCGCTGCCCAGAGCCTGTGCAGAGGCCAAGCTCATGCTGGACGAGAAGGCGAAGGGTGATAGTTTGCTGCAGAACAGGGCACGCGGCAACGTGTTGGGTCTTGAAGGAGACCGTGAGCCTGCACCAGCTACAGGGGGAGCGGGCTGCTGCTGTACGCGCTGTGAGCCAGTCAGCTCGCAGGGATTCAAGAATCGCGGGAAGCGGGTGCTGACGCTTCAGATGACGGAAGATGTCCTGCGTGCGAGTGAACCACTGATGACAAACAGGGCAGTGTCTCAACCCTTGGCCGGTGTGCATGGAGCGAAGTTGACGAGCCAAGGAGCTGCCAGTCGTCCTGAAGAGCAAAAGCACGAATGGCAGGTCGTTGAAGGAGCGGCAGTGCATCCGAGGGGGTGACCGCGGGAGAGGAGGCAGCAGCCTGTGTTGGTGGGGCGGCAGGAAGCTCGGAGTGATCAACACTGGAAGCAGGACCTGCGGCCGAGACAGAAGAGGAGGCGGCAGGCGCAGCGGGGTTCTTGATCAGGGAATCGTCGTGAACCTGAGCCGGGCAGGAGTTGGTGTAGTGATGGTTCAGAAAGGGTGGCCAAGCAGCAAACTTCCTGTTGCACAGGGTGCAGTGGGGCATACCATCCTTAGCAAAATGCATGAAACGTGCTCGTAGCTGTTGTTGCGAAGGAGGTCGAAGGTGAGAAACACCCTCGCTAGTGGAAGGGATCAAGGTGGCGGCCGCCGTGCCAGGAGGTGTCGTAGTCTTGGTCGAGACGTGTGGAACATCAGGCTCAGCAGGAGGTGCGACAACTTGGTCTGATGATGGCCCATGTGATTTGGTGCAGTGGGTGCGAAGGGCAATCAAAGTGGGAAAGGTTTGCGGGCAGTGTGGGCATGCATAGGTACGCGTAACGATGCCCGAAACATCCATAAGGCTGCAGCGAGAAGTCCCCTGCACAGGCTGCGTGGTAGGAGACAGATGGGCATGCGTGTCAGACACAAAGGACGCAGGGAGAGCAGCCCTCCACCGCAGACGTTCAGGGGTATCGAAGGCCTCTATGCTGAGGGAGGGACGAGTCTGACGTGATTGCAACTGATTGGACAGCTGGACAATAGGGTCCTGGAAGCGGAGCCTGGCATACAGATCAGCCGTGGTTTCATGAGTGATGCAGCTTGGGGATTTGAGGACAAGGCGGACCTGCTTGGCCACTACTTGGCGAATGAGATCAGGGCCTCGAGGAGGCAAGCCAGTGCTGGTGAGGCCGTATCTCAGCGTGGAGAACACACAAGCAGTCCAGAGCTGCAAGCGCTGAATGGGCAGGATGTGCTTGGATCTGAGCAGGGAGAAGAGGCGACTGAAGTTGGCCCAACTCTGCTTGATCCTGATTTGAAGGGAGAGCTTCTCGAAACAGTCGTAGCTTAGCACAATACCCAGGTAGGGATGCTGCTTGCGAAAGGGCAGATCTAATGGCCCAGTGGCACACATCACTCGAAGACAGGGGCCCTTGTCCTTATGGCGCTGCAGAAGAGGACGTAGAAGTCTGGACTTGGCAGGGCCCCGAAGGCCATCAAGGATCACTGTTTTGGAGTCGCTAAAGCGATGTCCTGTAAAATGCGAAGAATGTCCTCAGGCTCATGGACCTCCCATTGTGCAAGGATGTCATCTGAGAACGCTGTAAGACAGGAGAGAGGAATTTTCGCACTTATAAAAGATGGAGGACATAGCAGATGAAGATACTCCACAGTGCTGGAGATAGGCTGCATCCTTGACGCACGCCCGAGTGGAGCTCGACAGCAACGGAGTGCGATTTGTGCGTGAAATTGAGAGTGGCTTGACGGTGGATGTGGAGAATGAGGTCGATGAGTGTGGGTTCCACAGCCGCAAAAACAAGAGCTTTGTGCAGGATCTCTCGCGGCAAGCAATCAAACGCCCGAGAAAGATCTAAGGAGAGGGTGATCCCTCCTTTACATTTTCCCGTAACATGTCCTTGACGACGAAGGTGAATGTTATACTTTTGCGCTTCGAGAGTCGTGCGTACAGCCGCGCAATGGGAACAAGCGCGTTCGATAGAGTCTTCCACAGATCGGCCCCCTATATAAGCGAACTGGGGGAAACGCGTGGCAAGATGCTGCACGGTCGGGCGCAGAAGACCAGCCGCCAGTTTCGCCAAACATTTAGAAACCGGATGAAGGAGGGCGATAGGCCTGAGGTTCTCAGGACATTTCGGAGGCTTCGACGGTTTGGCTAGGAGGCACAGCGAAGATTTTGGCCACTGTCCCGGCATGGGGTCCGTCATATGACTGAGCCATTGGGTCAGGGCCGCGTGAATAACATCAGCAACATGGGCTGCAGCAAGAGACCAGAGCGGGGCTGGGGCAAGCCAGGAGGGCAGAGCTTTACCAGAGGGAAGTTGCGCAATGACACCGGTAAGCTCCTCCACATCAAACGGGGTAAAAGAGTGGCCCGGTGGATGAGGCTCCGGCAAGGAGGAGCGGTAGAGGAGGCAGAAGTAGTCCTTCAAGGTCTGCGCTTCCTGAGCCGTGGTGAGGGGAGTTCCCTGCGGATCTCGAAGAGGATAGGCTTGGGTGTCGTTTTGGGAGCAAGACGCTTCACCACCTGGTAAGCAGCCGTAAGCCCTTTATGAGCAGCCTGCTCCGCTTCCTGCAAGATCTGCTGAATTCGAAGTTGCCTATTCTGAGCGCAGAGCAGTTTGAGACTCTTGGCAGCCTCCTTCAACTCGGCCTCCCTAGGCCAAGCCCGAGAGGCAGAGGAATCCTGCCGCTGCCGTCGTTCACGACGCAGGCGCCAAAGGTGGAGAATCAGCTGAGTTTTCGGACTGTGGGTTGGAGTGACCGTAGTCGGGCAGGGTGCAGTGAGGGTCCAGGCCTGCAGAAGGCAATCGGACACGTCATCAGGCTGGAGAAATCTGTGCCTGTGCCTGAAATCGGGGCGGCAAGGGCATGCGAAGAGCCGTCCTTACGGAGGCTAAAGTGATGGGGCGGGGGGGGCGTGCTTGCCTGGCACGCACAGGGAGAGCAGGTCTGAGAATGGAGCCCAGCAAGGGCAAGTGCCGGAGCCCAGTAGACTCAATGAATGGAAGCCAGACCGGGCTGGTGCGCCTGGCAATGCCATCAGCAGTGGTCTGGCGCGTGAGCGCAAAATCGATTTGCGTGCCTCTGCCGCCGGTAGTCGGCAGGAAGGTTTGAGCAGGGGTCCCTGCTCGGCCAAAAGTATTGAGGGCCTGAAGTGAGAAGGTACGTGTCAGCTGCTGAAATTCCTGTTGATCCGGGAGGATACGGCTGAGGCGGGTGCGTACACCCTGACCAACATGTGGTGGGTCAGGAAATAGATCTGTGTTCATGTCCCCTAGCACAAGCACGGAGTTCCGACTCGGGAACCTGGCAAGGGTTTGGTGCAGTTTGGTCCAGAGAGAAGAACGCCTGAGCAGGGCCTGCTCCAGGCCCGCAGCACCAGGGAGCGCTTTGGAACTGGAGTAGAGGTGTAGATACACAATGACCACATCCAAGGAGGGATTGCCTTCTAGGCGCAGGTGAACCAGCCTACCTTCGATGACAGAGGTGAGCTGGATCTGGTCGCGCTGGAAGAACCGGAGGTTCACCAGCACTAAGATGCCCGAGACACGGTCCTGACTAGGCGAAGCAAGAGCTTGCCAGCCTTCCATTTTGAAGGTCAAATCAGATGCCCAGTGTGTCTCCTGAATCACCGTGATGGCCAAATGCTGGCCGTGGGTGCGCAACCACAGGGCAACCTGCTGATAGCGCTCACTTGATAGCCCGCCTGCGTTCCAGCTCATAAAATGTAGTCTGGGAGACCTGCGGTGAGCAGAGGTGGACTGGTCTCGTGGAGGACGAGTGGGCCTCAGTGGAGAAGCGCACCCTCCGGCAATGCGATGACCACGATACATGGCACTGCCGCACCGATCTGCCCTCGAGAGGGCCCTTTGGAGAGCACGTTTCCGAATGGAAGAGGTAAAGGAGGGTTGAGAAAGACGGGGGATAGAAGCGACTAGGGAGTCGCATGGCTTTGCCGGAGGAGTGTAGGGATGTCGCCCTTGTTGGACGGCTTCAGGAGGATGGCGACTGCCAGTACCTCCAACCCTCGGCTCAGGGACATGCATTGTGGCGCAAAGGTGGGGCATCATCAGGGGAACAAACATGCGGAGAATACGAAGAGGCGCCCAACACAAAACGTCCCGCCCGGACTTGGGACCGGGCGCAGCAGTACGCAGAGAAGGGAAGTGGTGTTCTGAGGATTCAAAGGGGTTCTGAGGATTGTGCCTGCGGCGGTGACGCTGAGGACAGCGAGCACGTCGTAACCTGCCGAGGAGGCGGGACCACAGTCCAGGTAGGCGAGTGGTCCGACAGCGACGATGCCTGGTACAGGTCTTGGGTCGGGAGACCGAGCGCAGACGAGCACATCTGAGGTGGAGGCCATAGCACAAGCGGGAGGCTGTCCGACGTGAGGGGGAAGTTGGCCAAGTGCGACAGCCTTCAGAGCTCGCGCATAGATAGTGCAGGGCGCAGGCGCAAACCGGCTGTTTGCAGGGGTGCACACATGGATGCAGCACGGGCAAGTTTATGATTCCGCACAGGCCAGAGCCAGTGTATGATCTACAGTCTACAGAAGGTGCCAACCAAAATGTGGCAACATTGTGTTCCACGATGCTGTACGAACGGCCACTAACAAGCGAGGCAGACTGACAAGCAGAATGAGAAATCTCATGCGCCAGGGTCACGACGGCTGCGCGGACTTCTGCTTCTCTGTAATCGAGCTCTGAGTGTGTGAAGAATTTCGCTGGCCTCTTGATGGACACGCTCGGACCGTTGGAGGCTAGCGTGGCAGTTCTCGATCGTTCGTTGCAGTATCTCCAGGGATGCTCTATCATAGAGCTGTGTCGTTGTCGTGGTCGTGGAGGGCGGCAACGAAGGTCGAGCGGCCTGCTGGGGGTTGCTCTGAGAGCTGAAAAGGAGAAGCAGTTCCTGATCCGGAGCAGAGCAATCCGCACCGGTACGCGAGCCTGCCTGCAGAACATCATTCTGGATTGCAGCCGCGGAAGTGGCCAATGTGATCTGCTGAGGTCGAGGCCGTCGTTCCACTCCCGGTGGTGGTGAGGCCGGTTGTGAGGCCTCCGGCGTAGCCGGGGCAGGCATGGGTCCAGATGTAGCTGTAGCAGACAGCCCTGTTGAAGCCATCGGGGAGTAGAGGAGTCGCAGGAGCAAGGCAGGCGGCACTGAGCAAAGAAGCTGCATATGCAATGTGCCCACCAGAGGGGCGTAGACAAGTACAGTTGCCCATGCTGCAGAAGTTGAGAAGGCGTCGGGCCGAGCACCAGACAGTGTGATATCTGACGGTCGGTGAGGCAGTGACCTGAGCATTGCACAGAGAGGCGGCACAACAGCTTGAGGCAAAGAAGCAAGAAGTACACTAGCTAGCGTATCCTCCCGCCACCTCCCTCTACACCTCCGGGGAGTACGTAGCAAGCCTAGCTTAAGCTAGCTGGCTTCACGCAGTAGCACGGACAACACGAACTTCTCTCTTTTTAGCGTTGTGGCGAAGTCCCGCGTTAGCCCGGAGAAGAACTCTAGCCTTTGGCTAGCTAATCTCCAGGGTGGGTTGGGTGGGCACTCGAAATTTGCCCCCCAATAGCTGGGGGCCTTTCAGCACAATGGCCACGGAGTAGCACTGCTTCACCGGCCATGTGCAGACACTCTAGCAAACAGACAAGCTTCGTTCTGTTTAGCTTCAGAGGAAAACCCCTTCGACGTTTTCTAGCGAAACACCTTCGATGTTTCCCAAAGGGATACTAGCGCTAGCATACACTGTCGTACCTCGTCCCTCGGCACGAGTGCGTACACTAGCTAGCGTATCCTCCCGCCACCTCCCTCTACACCTCCGGGGAGTACGTAGCAAGCCTAGCTTAAGCTAGCTGGCTTCACGCAGTAGCACGGACAACACGAACTTCTCTCTTTTTAGCGTTGTGGCGAAGTCCCGCGTTAGCCCGGAGAAGAACTCTAGCCTTTGGCTAGCTAATCTCCTTGCGCAGCCGTAGGGCTACCAGGGACCTAGCTTACGGGCCTTCTTAGCGAACCTTGGAGCCTTCGGCTCTCCGGTCCTTTTCCTCACTCCTAGCTCTTGGAAGTAGCTAGCCGAGTGTTCGAGGAGACGGCCCAGCACGCGCCACTCTAGCTTCCCCCCCTCCAGGTTCACCCTGAAGTCCGGGGAGAAACTAGCGAAGTTCTCGTTCGTGAGGTCGTCCGCTAGCTGGTTCAGATCTCTGCGGATCCACTGTAGCTGAAGCTCACAGTTCTTAGCGGAGAGTTCCTCTGCTAGCTCCATCAACACCAGGGTCGACGGGAACTTCGTCGTCATAGCCTTCTTCAGTAGCGCTTCGTTGGACTGGTTGTCAGTGTAGCCACGGATGGCCACCTTGGAGGTCTTCTTAGCATCCCCTTCCGGTACCCAGAGCCTCACACCAACCAGAGTAGCCAGTAGCTCCAGCGCAGCTATGACCTTGTTCGGGTCTCCTTTAGCGAAGGCCCAGGGGGCCCATTCCTTCTTCACCTCTAGCGAGAACCAGGGACCGTGGCAGCCGTCCACTAGCTCGAGGAAGCCCCCAATCCAGGCACGTCCGTTCTCGGCCTTAGCGTCGGTGTAAAAGGAGAGCGGTGCCGCCCCGTCCAATAGCGAGGCCGGCTTCTGGAGACGGCCCCCCGCTGCTAAACGGTCTGCTAGCCAGCCACAGAGGACGCGGATCATCGTGGGTAGCGTGAGGATCCCCAGCTTCCCTTGTACGGCTGAAGACCAGGCGTGTAGCGGTCCCAAGAAGGGGCGCTCCCAGTCTAGCGCCATGGAAGCGAACCCCAGGCGCCCTAGCCCCTGAGCAAAGGGCCGGGCCTCGCACTTCCCGTCACGGACTAGCTTCCGTAGCCATTCCACTAGCCAGTCGGTTCTCTTCTGAGACAGACCTAGCCTCCAGGTGGAGTACTCCGTCTCCATGCCTAGCCACTCCACCCGAAATCCCCCCCTCGTCTTGGCCCACTTGAAGGGGTACCCAAGACTAGCGAGGAAGAGATAGCTTAGCGGGATCCCCATGCGCCCTCTAGCCCCCCGGCCCAAGGACTCGAGGTCGTCGGCATAGAGGAGCATGTCTAGCGGGAACGATGGCCCTAGCAGGTGGTACGTGAGCCGAAGCCCACACGCCGCTATGCGGGTCCACCAGTAGCTCGCGCAGGATAGCCCGAAGGTCCCCACCAGGTTAACGTAAACCGTCTGGCTGTCGGGGTCCCCCGGTGTAGCTTCCTCGGTGTCGATCTGACACCCCAAGTAGCCATGCTCCCCTTCCGCATGCTTGTAGCGTCGGTGAGCCTTAGCGATGTCGCCCACCACGGAGAAAGCCACCTCGTTAGCGTCGATGTGTTCCCGAAGTAGCTGCTTCTTCTCCCTAGCTCCCGGGGCCCGGATCTTGTCCCTGCACTTGATGCGGTGGTTGACCCGGACCCCGTGGGTAGCGTCGTGGATCATCCTCTTCTTTCCACTAGCTTCGTCCTCGACGATGACAGCTAGCGCGGCGATGGCTCGATGCTCGCCATAGCGGGCTTTGAACTCGCCTAGCGTCATCTTGACCATGAGGCCCTCCGCCACGTCCTCTTCGAACTTCTCCCTAGCGAACTCCCGGTACTCTTCCACCGAGGAGTAGTTCGGGACCCAGGCTAGCGCCGCCTCCCAAGGGGCGTTCTCCAAAGGCCACTTTAGCTGCTCCTCGAAGACGTGGGGAGTGCGTGGTAGCGGGTCTCTCACCCCCACCGGTAGCCCCTCCTCGGCCTGGAGGAGGAAGTCCCTGTCGGGATCGCCGGCCGCGGTCAGTAGCGCCCGAATGAGGCGAAGGTATAGCGGTTGCCCCGGGGCCACCTTCAGCAGCTCCGGGTCCCCCAAGTCGTTAGCTTCCAGCCACTCTTTCCAGATCAAGCGTAGCTGCTCCTGGAGGTCTTCGGAGCTAGCCAGGGCACAGCCCTTGGCCCCTCCGGCCGCCATTCGGAAGGCTTCCTTCTCTAGCTCCGCCTCCGAACCCACCTTAGCGAGGATCACCTCCATCATCTTCTCCCGTAGCCAGTTCCAGTTGGGACCATCGGCGTAGCTGCGGGTAGCGTGGGGCCAGCGTCCTGGGGAGCAGAGGCCCCCACCATCGTGGTAGCTCTTGTTGCCACCTAGCTGTTGGCAGGTCCTTGGTGGTCCTGAACCCCCTAGCACTCGCGGACCCTCCGGCTCACAGGTCGGGAAGGTCTCGGGTAGCGGGCACTCCGGCCTAGCGCCACCCCCCTCCCCCTGGGCAGCGGTAGCAGGGTGCTGGCAGGAGTCCAGAATCAGGGTAGCCAGCCACTGGCACATCCTAGCGGGCCACTTCTCGGAACCTGAGGTCTTGAAGGGGCCCTTAGCAGCGCGTTTGAACATACGACCCAAGGTAGTAGCAGAAGGCAGCGGTCCTGTGTAGCAGCCCTTTTTGTCATAGCACGGCAGGCCTTCGTGCACAAAGTCTGGCATAGCGGAAGAACACTTCAGGAGTAGCCGTGTAGGCTTAGCGTATGGCGTACCAAAACTAGCCTGGTGGAAGACGGTCCGTAGCCCCTTTTCCAGAAGGGTGGCTAGCGGCGGCCACTGCCACATAGAGGCCGGCCGTGCTCCTTTGTGCGGGCCCTTAGCGAGGGCACCAAGGTCCTCGGGCTGTTCCATGGCCAGGAAGGTAGCTGCACCATCGGCCACGAGGGTAGCGACCTCGAAGCTGAAATCCGCAAAAATGTTGCCCAGGATAGCGCGGTCTCGCTCAGCAGGTGTTAGCGTTTCCAGAAATTGGGGAAACTCGTAGCTGCGCACCGGGCGAGGCCCTTGAAAGTTAGCCCAAGGTGCTCTGGAGAAGCTAGCGCACGGCGGGGAGAGCACCACCGCGTCGAACTCCTTGCTAGCGATCCGGTCCAGGTAGCCTTGCCGAATCTTGGGCTGACTGAGGTCGTATTTAGCGTGCCGTAGCAGGTCGACACACTCGACCCTCACGTCGTTTCCCCACTCTGCCGCTAGCTGGTGCAAGCACTGCGCCACATCTAGCCGGCGCGAGGTACCCGAGAAAAGGTAGAGCACCCGTAGCGGCTTTGTCAGCGTAGCGGCCGGCGCTGCCGGCATAGCGGCCGGTGAGTCTGGCGTAGCATCCCCCCCGGGGGGGGTCACAGGCACTGAGGGCGCAGCCGCCGTAGCGGGTCAGTTGGAGGGCTTGTCCTCCTTAGCTGCGTCGGTCTGCTTGCTCGGGCACTTGGTAGCCGGGTGCTTGCCGAAGCATAGCGAGCAAACATGCTCGAAGTGGCACTTGTTGCCATTCTTGCACCCCTTAGCATTGTAGCGGAAGCAGATGGGCTTCCCCTGCGGGGTGCGATCGGCACCCAAGCGCTTCTTAGCTTTTCCCCCTTTGGGGGGGCCATCTTTGCCTTTGCCCTTCCCCTTGGGGGTCTTAGCGGGCCGATCCTCTGTGGAGGTCCAGGGCTGCGGCCGCTTAGCATGGAGGGCTAGCGGCGTCGTGAAGTGCCGCTCCTTGACGCTAGCGTCCTTGTAGGCCAGGACTAGCGCAGCACCGAAGGAGTAGCCAGCTGTGGCCATGACCTTGTAGGCGTGCTTCCTGATAGCGTGCTCGTAGCTGAGGACCAAGGTCCACGGGGGCACTAGCGACCCCGAGTCAGCACTGGACCGGAGACCATAGCAATAGTCGCCGAGGAGATAGCCTTTGTAGCGCTCGAAGAGGGCCATGTTGACATCCTTTAGCTCCTCTCGATTGGGGTGTTTTAGCTGCATCATAATTAGCGTGTTCTGGAGGACCGTGAGCCGCAGCCGTAGCTGCTCCGGCCCAGAGGGCATGGGGGCCCTAGCCCCGCCCTTCTTCATGGATAGCGTGCCATTGCCGTTCCAGACGGGCAGTAGCGTGTCAGGATCCCACTCGTCCCGGCTGATGACCTCAGTTAGCGGCTCCGCTCGGAACTCGCCAGATTCGAGCTCACCTAGCTTCTTCTCGATGTACTCCTTAGCGGGAGTTTGCTTGTCCTCCAGGTCTCCGAACTTAGCTGTGAAGGCCTGGCGCATGGCCATGTAATCCGTAGCGGGGATGGGCTTCGCCCAATCCCGGACCTCGTGTGTAGCCTCCGCCTCCGCTTGCCGCTCGGAGCGGGAAGTAGCGGTCCGCCATGCGATGGTGACCCCCGCGGCCTGAGCGCGGCTAGCGAGCGAGGTGGACGGCTCAATTGCAAAGCTGTCCTTTAGCATCTTCTTGAGGTCCGCCTCATCTGTTGCCGAGGCTGCGAACTTAGCGACGGTATCAATACCGTTGGAAAAGA